TGACCTTAATTCCTCAATTACCCGAGCTCAACAGGGTGGTCTACAGTGGCGGAGAAATCAACGATCTCGCTGAACTCAGGCACCGAACCATGGTTGCGTGGCAGAATCTCTCGATGGCGCTGGTCCAGAAGGCTGTGGCGGAGTATCATGATAGTATTTAATATGCTCTTTAATATGGTGGTAGAAATGTCCGATCAGAATTTAATAAAGTGTAACTTATAGCGCCTCGAAAGTCAATGAAGAAAAGTGACTTTTTTTGCCCCCCCCCCTCTATAGAGATGAGAACATTCGCCTATCAAAAGCTCGAAAAAGAACCCTCGAGATTGGTGAACCAATAAAAAAATCACTTGTGTTAAGATGACGTCAATTCCACTTTTACACCTCCCCCTCCCCACCGCTCCCCACGCAAAGGTTACTAGCGCCGAAAATAGAAGCAGCAGTATAGTCAGCCGAAGAAACAAGGGAACACAATTCTTTTCGAAAAGTTTCTGCTTCAGCCATTTTTCATATACGAACAGTGATTCTGGTGACCGATATAGATGGTGGTATGACAACAATAAACTTATTCCTGAGGGCGAAGTTAACTTACTGGTCACTGACGCGGTTGAGCCTTGATCTCACCACTCCTTGATTCGTCGAAGCTAATATCGGGTCAGCTTTCGTTCTTGCCCTTCAAGCCTTCCATCACTCTCTGGTCTCTTAATTTTCACCGGCCTCAAGGCACGTCTTCCTAAATCCCAACTTCCTACAACTTTTGTGGGAACGAAGTTTCTTCCCAAATTCCCCTCCTCCCCCCCCCACTTCCCTCAAGAACTGCCATCGAGCGTGGGGCGTACATAGTGCACTTGGTAGGTAAAAACAAGGAAGGTCAACAACCGAAAACACTGTTTGATATCAACCTCCTCCCACCTGCAGCGACGTATATACGGACTCTCTCGCCAGGCGAATCGCCTTAATGCCGACATGCGCTTGAACGGCTCTCATCGCTAGATCATATCGAGTGAGAGGCACGGCTTCTTACATCTGCACGTTGAAAGGTGGAGTATGTGACCTAGAACTTACTGTTTGAGCACTACATACTCGTCCTATCCCAAATGATACGGAACCTTATCGGGCGAACAAATTTCCAAGTGGAAGATGAGACCAACTGGGTTCAACCATCACTTAACCCCTTACAGTCGTGGCTCGGATAACAATTACCGGTTAGTTTCCGGAGGGCCGTAAACGGACAGTATGAGAGAATGAGCGCAACTGCAAAGTGCAACAGGATCACAACCTGAAGGACGAGAGTTGGCCGACCCGGGATTTGACCCTTGGACTGCGCGCGTGGTAAGAGTACCAGTGAACGCTATACCACATCAACCGCGCTACCATCAGATTGCTGGGAAGTGCCCTGTTTCTAAAAAAATGCATCAAAGAAAGTCGAGAAAGTTCGAGACCGGCTGCTAGATGATTGATTCATTTTTAGGTTACTTATTCCTCAACAGTCGTACCCAGCAAGCGGTACAATCTGTACTTGGAAACGGTTTTAATGAACTTACGAAAAGTATTGAGGAATATCAGATCAGTCGGGTCGATACAGAATGCCTGTAGTTGCCTGTAGATTTCATGAATTGTTGGCTGGTCCATGTGATCCTCATCAGACCACACGTATACTCTGAACAATCACTTCACTTGAGCAGGTATAGGACATGCCCTATTTTGAGAACATCAGAAGAGAACACATTAGATATTATCACCAGGTGGCTGTACTTGTCAACGGTATCATTCACCGTACTAGTCCGTGAAGATGAGATTCAATTTCCAGTGCACTCTGATTGGATCCGAGTCTTTTGGGCTGAAGATACCCTGCACCTTCACTTCCGAGCTTTCCTCACTGCGCATCAGATAGCTCACGTAGGGTATAGGAGGGCAAAAAATACGCTCAAATACGTCCATCATTCTGAATTGAAACAAAGGGCGTGGCGCATTCAGAATGACTGCATATCGGTGGGTCCACATTGCGGCGGCGCGATGAAAGCAGCGTTGCGAGCGTGCTGCGCTATTCAGGACCTAATTAACTCAAAACGTAAGTGTTGCATTACGTATATCGGGTCAACTACCTAAAAAACCCAGCTAATTAGTTGGATGGCGTTGGTGTGGAGCATTACTTTTGAGTCGCGGCATGGCACTCAGTAGCAGACTTTACCTAGATAGTTGGAGCACCGCAGAAAGCTAGCCGACTTGAGAGATGCCGACGCGCCGCAACACTGCTACTTTGAAGACAATTCCCGCGATCAAGTGTTCGGGTAATTGGTGCTCAGTCACGAAGCAGTGGCCCATTTGTAACCCCCAGTGGAAAAAAATCGAAAAAAACCTCGCGAACACCCTGAACACAGACCTCCCTTTAGCAGTGGGGGCGGGGCCTGGACGAGTGTGCCGGACGTGGCTGCCAGAAATCGATGCGGCAGCCGCAATTGCGTCCCGACTTTCGAAATAGGATACTTTAAAGGGACGGAAGCAGCTCGGGACCGGACGCCTCGTCCACCTACCGTGTCAGCGAGCCTAGCGAGCCTTGTGGAAATCGCTATAACTTCCTTATCGCGCCATATTGAGGGATGAAAGTGGTATCATCTTCGTCAAGCCCCGCCCCACTAGAGGGTTCCAAAAAGCGCGAAGTCATTTTGAGGACCACTTGATCGCGGGGAGTGTCCCTAAGGACACTGGGACTTGGTACGAATGCTGCATACGTCGTGCTGCTTGCAACGCTATTTTGCAGTACTTGGAAGTAACGCTTCAGACACCGCCGTCGCTACGATTTACGACAAGCTGCTATCCCAAGCCGACCTGCCATACTGTCACTGAGCCACTAAGTTCGATTTATTTTAGGAGAAGTCAATTTCCAAACCTCCACGAATCGCATGCTCCGTCTTCGCCGATCAGTGAGCAGTGTATTGAAATGTACTCGTCGCCATTCTCCCATATGATTTTGCCGGACCCTGAAATGCTTCCTGGCCAGACCTGAAGGAATGATCAATGTCTCCGATGAAAAATCTTATGCGCTTACAATCGATGTTAGTGGAATTTCCATCGAGGCGTGTGTAGTTGAATAGCATGTTAGTAGTTGATTCACTGGTAAAGCTCTGACGAAGTTCAGTTTTGAAGCAGGTGTTTTGCCTTCAAAACTACAGTAGAGAAGATAATTAGAACCTATGTCAGAATAAAACTGGAATGTGCACAGATAAAGGGAAAGCTGCACAATCTGTAGACCTGCGTATAAGAGAGGGACGCAATAGTGGCACGTGACACCAGCTGCCTCAGGTTTGCTCTTTGATCAAGTCCTAAATCTTATTCTACCTAGGAAAGCGTACTTTTCACCTCTACGCTTTCACTTTTTGGGTACTAAAGTCGCCAAGGAGGAACATTGCACTTACTAGGGAGGTCGTTCAGGACGTGGAGCGCTTTTTGAAAACGGTTTTTTGCATGATGTGGGGTCACGTGCATGGAGTACCAAACTGGTGTTCATTTTTCCTGAACGCCTCTGGGAATGCCAAAAATGGAGTGAAAAAAAAGTCCATGGAAACCGACTGTTATTGAGCCTGAATGGGCTCTAAATCACTCGCAAGTTCGGCCAGTTGCTGCCTATAGGGTCCTTATAAAGGTTGTACTGGTATCTATGAGAAAAGTGGTCGTCAATGGGGTCTTACTTGTGGCACGTAGTTAAGAGTCGACGGCCAATTCGAATGGGCTCTTAAGCAATCGAAGTGGTGCCTGTGCCAACGATCGGATGGCCTAGTGGATAGCGTGGAGGATTCTCAAGCAGACAGTGGGGATGGGGATGATGGTTCGACTCCCCTCGGCTTGCACGTTTTTGCATTTTTTATTTTCCGTTGTTGTCGCTTCCATATATACGTCTGTTAATGAATTTTACTCGGATATCTGCCATTTATAGGCACATCCTAAATAGTTATAGCCCGTAGTCGGTGCTATTCAGCAATTTCGATTTCACACCATTAAGCAAGAACTTGTCTGAAAGCTGAGCTTATGTTATTCGATGCCCTGATCATGACTATGGCATTTACTTTCAGCTCTAGTGCCATTTATCTCCAATTTGGAGCCAAGTCTTTCTCCCACTGGAGTCGCTATGTACATTCGTTTGAGGGACTTGCAGGGCCATTCTGACGCCAGATTGGATTGACGTCAAGAATAAGTGTCAGAATCGTGATCAGGACCATCGATTACCCCTATAGGCAAACTTTCAGCCAAAAAATTTTTTTGACTTTTTTGAGTCTGTGCATTGGGTTATGCTCAAGAGTCACTTTGTTGAAGTCGTACTTTTGCTGGTTATCGAAACCCTCATTCAGTGGTACGGAAACAAAAAACTAGCAACAACCATAAACGCCATCGAAAAAAACAAAATAGTCATCATTCCTCCAGGTGCATTTGATGAAGAAATCGGATGAGTCTCTCCTCTTGGTAGGGGAGGACGACATCTTCGTTGAGCGAGCCGTCGCGGGGGTCGACAAATGTCCAGGATGGTTTTTCACTTGTTCTGCGGCCACCCATGCCCATGCCAAGTATGAATGGACCTTATGAGCACCAAATCCGCGATGCGGCTGCCCGGCGGCCCACCACGTCATCGCTACGTCATCGCAGCTCCAAAGTTGTGGGTCTCCGGTCATCACCGACGACCAAATGGTCGGTCTATCACAACTCAAAAAAAGTCAAAAAAATTTTTTTGGCCGAAAGTTTGCCTATAGGGGTAATCGATGGTCCTGATCACGATTCTGACACTTATTCTTGACATCAACCCAATCTGGCGTCAGAATGGCCCTGCAAGTCCCTCAAACGAATGTACATAGCGACTCCAGTGGGAGAAAGACTTGGCTCCAAATTGGGGACTACGTGCCACAAGTAGGACCCCATTGGCGACTACTTTTCTCATCGATACCAGTACCTTTATAAGGACCCTATAGGCAGCAACTGGCCGAAGTTGCGAGTGATTTAGAGCCCATTCAGGCTCAAAAACAGTCGGTTTCCATGGACTTCTTTTTCACTCCATTTTTGGCATTCCCAGAGGCGTTCAGGAAAAATGAACACCAGTTTGGTACTCCATGCACGTGACCCCACATCATGCAAAAAACCGTTTTCAAAAAGCGCTCCACGTCCTGAACGACCTCCCTAGTTAGAGCTAAATTCCCGCCGTCGATCAATCCTTTTTGAGACACGGCACGCATTCTATTCCCATTCAACGTCACAGCGGCTTATTGACTGGGATAAAATCTATAACTAGCAGTTGGCACGATAAAGTCCCTAAGACGAGTAGGATTAATACGCCTGGCAGGACGGAATTCCGCGACCCTGAGCAGGCGCTGCGTAGCGCCTTTTCAAGGGAGGTACCCTTATAAGGCCCTATCAAGCTACAACATACCGACCCGAACGCCCACCACGCCCGCCCGCCCACAAATGGACGACCTCGTATTGATTCATTTGCTAAGCAAATTATGAAGCGAAGGGATTGGTATGAAGCGGCCGCGGTGCTGCATGGATATATGAGTACATATGTGCAGCCGTACCTACCGTAGCGGTTATTGGCAAGATGCCTACGGGAAACTCGTCCGAAATTGATTTTCAAGTCATGAAAACGGAGGCTTTTTTCGCAGGATTTTGACCGTTTCACTTCGTTTTTCGCCATTTTCCCCACTATATAGCGCTCGCTAGCATTTTAGGCAAAGTACCGAATTATCGTGCCAACTGCCTTTAAGTGAAGGTTATTATCCTCACAGATGAATTTGGTACCGATTTTTCAGTGGAAGCATAGGTTGACGTGGGCGGGAGCCGATCGGGCCTTCGTTCCCTGGACCGCGCGCCTGGTCGCGACGAGTTGCTAGCTCCAAAGTTTGACCCCATGCCTCCCATTTTACCAAACTGCTTCTTCTCCTCTCTTTTAGTAGTAAGTTCAAGTAAGATAGGTTGTTCTTTCTATGGTTAGCACAGCGGAAGCGTAAAGACAACGTTCGTTCTCGCAAAAACATTTTTCTACTTTGCCAGCCTTTGTGAAGAGCTGCTGCCCTGCGACTGCGAAACTTCACAGAAGAAATGCGTAACTCTTAGAAATGAGGCATGTTAAATGAGAGCACTAGGAGTCTTAAAACCCTACCGTATCCATTCACATGTAGCGCTAGTTTGATTCACGTAAACACAGCTGATATGAGCGATTTGTTCATTTGACAGAGCCGCATCGATGTAGGCCGTTACTGTGAGCACTCTTGGTTCATCCTGTGACAACAAGCTTTTTTGAAAACCTTGCAAAAAAGAAATAAGTGAGGAAAGGGATAAATGTCTTTTATCATTCGCATATCTATACCTTCTTCTCATGTAGGCTGTATCATGCTGTCGAGTTTTTTTTCTCGAGTCATAAAGAGCGCTTTTGAGTGCATTAAAGGCAGAACCCGCGATTATTCGCCATCCCAGATAGTGGGGGGTTCCATATAGACGACAAGGGGTTGAGTAACTCGACAGTGAAGAAAAAAGCACAAAAAACATGCCACCCCTTAAGAAAAAAGCACATAAACAATCGACACTTAGCATGAACTCTATTTTGATAAACAGTTGTGAAGTGCTCAACTCTATCTCCCACACTACGCCCTCATACGCACAAGCTGATTCACCGATAAGATCTACGATCGTACAAGTGACGATTTCATGCTTTTTTCGTCCTGCAATCTTCGTTTTCACTGAAAGCCGGGCATTGGAGGCGGAGTCACTGGAAAAAAGGAGGAACCACTAAACCTATATTGCGCTATAGCGAGCTTGAGCTCTATTCAACTTGTAACCAACTTCGAGTTTATTAGAGTCCTTCCGTTTCTGCTCATCATAAAACTCGTTAAAAGGCTGAAACTTACGAAGAATCTGCCAATATTCGTAGTTGGTATTTTTTGATTTTCTACATGGCATTCAACGTCTACAAACTCATTGTTGTCGTCGATTCGGGCATGAATAAGCTTTTGATCTTCATCGACCACTTCGTCACCGCACGCAGCTAAAATAGGACAGCTGGTTGTCAGAAGCCGTGTGTGAAATAGTCAAGAAAGGGGAACCCGCTCACACACACCGCGTACGCCAGGTATGCGCTATTGAGTTCTGTCAGAATTGGGTGACAAATTGAACGGCGTTGGAAAAACTCTCGCCTACTCGGAATGGAAGGGCGCCTAAGTCCTGAGGAAATCAGGAATATCCAAGCGGGTCACGTATCCTGAATACCCCATCAATTACCTGGTTCGGGCGGAGTTCAATAGGGTGGTCTACAGTGGCGGAGAAATCAACGATCTCGCTGAACTCAGGCACCGAACCATGGTTGCGTGGCAGAATCTCTCGATGGCGGTGGTCCAGAAGGCTGTGGCGGAGGTGAAAAGGTCCGATCAGAATTCAATAAAGTGCAACTTATAGCGCCTCGAAAGTCAAGGAAGAAAAGTGTCTTTTTTTATCCCCTGTACGGCTGACAAATACATGCTCATTCTTATGGAAGATCCTAAGTGGTCCCACGCTTATCGTAATGATGATGATAATAACCGTTTTATGCTTTGCATTTATGCCTTATGCAATACCATTGCATTATGCAATTTAACCAACGTAGTGTACGGTATTAGTAGCGCGGTGCGGCTACACACGTCGCAATTTCACAGCACGCCTAATCGAGCTCTTCGCTTCTCTCCTGCTCTCCCATACTCTCCAGTCCCCGCAGCTGGCAAACGCTAGTGAAACGTTAGAGAGGCTAGATCAATACCTATCCTTTCCTTATCACTGCCGCTGCCGAAACGCTGGAAAACGTAGCGTAGGCTGCGCGAAAGACATGATACGCAGCCTAACTGTTCTCACGCAACTGTCTATCGAGCCGAAAGCTTCATACTCGTTGATGCGACTAAGGAATTGAAGAGCATTGGAAATTTAGCTGTATAGAACTTACTGTACGTATCAAGTGTCTTGAACTGCAGTATGTCAATACAAGCGGCATCTTCGATAAGTTTTGCAGATTTGAACAGCTGTAAATGTATATGTAAACATGCAAAATACAAACGTAAATGTAAACATCAACACCGGAAGCTTTGGAACATGACTAACTTGAAGCGTTTGCGGATGACGAGAATTACTCATTATCATAACCAATTCCTCGTTCGGGAGGCAGTTTCCTAGAAGCATCGTGACTACTTAAAAGATTGCAGTGGGAAATGATATTGGTAACGCCGGGAACAAACCAGGCAGCGTTGTTCCAGGAGATCTCAATTTTTGGTTTTCTTGATAAGAGGTTGAAGCGAAAACCGGGTTGACGCGTTACGCGGCTCCGTTCTACCACAAGAGTTTGCAGGTTCGTCAATGCGCGGCACGTTGATTAGATCGGTCAGGATCTGGTCAGCGCTCAACGGCGGCTGTCGGCGCGTTCACGACCGATGCGTAGGCACTGATTTAAAAGCCTGGTTCAGCCATTCTCTCCCTAGTATTCACTGTATTTTTTCTAAGGTAATTTGTGTAATTGTATTCATGAAGTATATTAAGACGTGGATTCTTTTTTGGAAGGAGAGGTAGCGTATAGTTTTTGCGATTTCTTAGGTACTTTGTTAATTTGTTTGTTATGTATTTGTTTAACTCTCCGCAAAATTGGAGAAAGGTAAGAAGATCTCAATAATAATTTACAAATGTGATGATAAGCGAACAACGAACCTCAATCAAAAGTCTAGCCCATAACAGTTGACAAGTGAGGGAACGAAATTACTAAACAAGCCGGAAACAGCTGATGGCCGCCGAACATACCTATTATACCGCGGTCGCTGCTGAAGCAATGTCTGCACCACCTTCGACGGACGCCTAATTAACTGTACGACTGTATCTCAAATGGAATTGTTATATTGGAGTTAAGCCTATACATAATAGTAGGCTTCTTTTCTATTTCGCTGCTAATGATGCGAACAATTTTGCTCCAATTTAGTTTTCCACAGAGTTACACTCAAAGAAATCCTTCACTCATAGCATGGTACTCTGAGCTTTTTTTTTTACATTTTTTGCTTCTGCTAATTTTTAAGTGTTCACATTATCAGGGACTGTTGGGGCGGACAGCAGTCGCGCGGATTTCTCAGACACGGAATTAAGAGGCCACATAGGCCTGGTTTTCAGTTAATGGGCCGAAAAAGAGTACTTGTCTTTAGGAATGACTTTGGATGTAGTTCAGGATCTATTCAAAGGTTATTTAATTCGACTTCACAGGGCAAGCACGCAAACATAATGCTTTTTGAATCATATGTGCAGAGTTAAATAGAACAACCTTAACTCGTTGGAGAAACCAAAGTAGATGGACATAATGGTAGAATGTTCCACGAAGGCTGTCTACTTCTCATTTAGTCGTCACCGATAACATGGAAGAACTTTCAATAACTCTGGTAGCTGGAGGATCTGTCAAAGAAAGTGATGCACCAAACAGCGCGCGCCCCCACGCTTTTTTGACATTTACAAGGTTCGAAAAATCCCATTTCTGGCATCGCCCTTAGACTCAGTAATTCCACAGCCTCTTGAGAAAACTGTGTTCTTCATTCTCTATCCATCACCAGTTATTGAGCTGCCGTTCTGCAAGTTTGGGACGAGTTTAGATTAAGATCCAAAAAAATGAGCGTCAAAAAACTCTCATTCTGTGTACCAGCTACTGCCATATTCAATGAAGTTGAAACTTCACAAAAATCAAAAAACTAATGGAACAGAATCGGAACACTGTCACATTTTTTGCACAAAGAATTTGGATGTTTAGAAAAAAAAACGCCATTACCTATGGGCCAATGTAAACAATAGAAAATGGGAATGAGTCAAGGGAATCTTTGAAGAGAATGTACGCCAGTACAGCCAACCCCAGTACGCCGAGACAACTATTTACCAAACCGTACTATATATTATTACGCCGCCGCGCCCAGCTCGTGAGACCTTCCCGACCTGAAACCAGGGGCACGAATTTTAGCGCCCTGTTAAAATAAAAGGGAGTTAGGTCGCCGGTTTTTTCAAAAGCTACAAACTTATCACATAAAGAGAACAAAATGGTCATGAGGACCTGACAAAATGCACAGCACGGCGCACCAGAGGCGCTGGCGCGAGGGGGGGGCAGCGGCAAGGGTCACAATTAGTTTTTCTCTAAATCCCATTGTCGCCGTTCATCTGCCCTTCACAGGTGACACCGTAATTCGTTACGAGCGAGTTCGCAGCGGTCCCTATCAAACTTTGGCTTGGACATCACTTTACGGCCTTCATCATAGTTCACAACTCTGCTATTTGATGGCTCGAACACAGATAGTGCGGGAAGCAGCGAAAAGAGGCAAGACGGGGGGATGCCCCTCCGTTCGCCGAACTGCCGCCAAAACGGACCTAATATAGCATTTTGGAAACTGCGGAATGCATTTCTTTCTTGTAAAGGGATTATGCAGTATTGTCACAACCAGAGCTTGAGAACTGAGCAGTTTGACGGGAGTTCTCCCCTCCCTAATTTCGTTATTCATCTGCCGTACAATAAACTCTTCTTTCTCTCCGATAGGTTATTTGTATTCCGCGAGCAATTCTAGTCTACTGTATTAGTCATCTATCCAATCACTTCCGATCTCTCCTCACAATGCACAAGAAAACCAAAAGGGCTTCACAGATCGGCTGAGATGCCATTCTTGTGATCGGTGTGGTTGCGTAAGAAATTGTGGCCTCCACCGATCAGATAAAAAACCTTGTTTGATCACAACTATCGCGAACTGTTGTCTGCTCCTCAGAAAAGAGCCAGTCAGCAAGAACCTGCCGATCCGTCGGACGCAGATGTTCACAGCCCCTCAGTATTGGTCTGCAGGCGGCGCCATCTGTCCACAGGATAAAGGACCCTGTTGTCTTCATCCGAGCGCATCGTATAATGTCAACCGATGTTCACCACTCACTTGCGGACACCGCGTTCTTCGCAATTTGATTAAAGCCAAAACGTGTCGCAGCACTTCGGTCCGGATGGATTTGTGCTTTCGCCAAGACCTCGCGCGCTCCAGCACATGTCTCAAAAATCCACGATACGTCCGGTTTGTGAAAAGCTCGTTTCCCGGGATTTTGGGCGAAGGACGTATTGACCGTTCCCATACTAAGCATGGTCCAAACCCGATGCCATTACTCATTATGGATGGCCCCTCAAAAAATCTCTAGCGGAAATCCGCATGCGCGAACGGTTAGACACCCCTGCGAAGCGATTGTGCTACGTGCTTAGCGTACGAAATTTACAGCAGTGAAGGCAATATCGCAGAAATATTGTAGTACATTCGCTAAAATTAACCTGAGAAATGTGTTTGAACAGACCGAAGGAGGCATTCTTGCAAATCGTGTCTGGAACTTATATTAGTGCTTAACACTGTCATTGTTAACTGAATTTGATGAAGACTGCCAAAATTGATTCAGATTGCTTTGATTTGAATCTGGTTACCTTTTTTGAATTGGGTATTTTTATACTATCTGAATTATTAGCGTTGCGAAAATTGCCCAGAACTTTGGTCACCCTGTACTTTATTAGAAAAGAAATTTTTACAGATTTTCAAGCAACTGAAAAACAAAGCGTCACCGTATCCGTCGTCTTGAGAGCATCCATAGATAACCATGTTCATTTCCTCGTTTTGCTCACCAGAGTAGTCATGATAAATACCACGAAGACCCACTGAATTCAAAGGTAGCAGATATGTGCTTTTTTGTACTACATATCCCAGAGATGGGGTGGGGAGAGGCGCACTCCATTTGAAGGTGATGGCAGCTGCGCTCTTGGTGGTATGATGCCGTTATGGAACAGGTGTAATCATGACTTGGTCCAGCACCAACAGAATGACAGTTGTCTCAAATTTGCATATCCCACGAACAAAGCTATTACTTCAAGTTCAATTGAAGTGCGCGGCCATGCCCGCCTCATCTTCGGGGTATAGAGTGTACATAATTCACAGTGAAATCGGAAGACTTTCTCCATGAAAACCCTCAGAGGAATTAATGAAAGCACACATACTTGAGAAAAGATGGCCGTTCTCCGTTCTTACTTCCATGAAGTAGCCGAGCCCTTTTTTCGTCCACACGCCGTAAAGTGGAGGCATACAAGTTCCGTTTCTGAAGAAATACATGTGAGATTCACATTGTTTATTATTCAACGTCGAATTTTAGGGGTGCATTTCCCGACTGCAATTCGTAGATATTTAGCGAGGTTAAAAATGGACGTTTTTCTTCACAGATGTCTGGAAAATGAAGCAGAACAAAGAGGAGGTCATTGGGAAAGTTCTGAACCTGTGCGCTGCCACCGCGCGCTTACATATTTGCAATCTCCTGTTGCTAGATGGGGTTTTTAACTGCACGTCTTGTGGGTCGGTCAGCACCTTCTATTTATAGCTATAATCCGTCTCTAGTTTCTTTTTTATTGGTCCCTCTAAATGTTCAACAGAAGTAGTGGAATTGAAGAGCTACGAAAAAAGGAGCCCATTATCCTTGCAAAGAAACCTACATCGAATGATACTCGGTCATATTCAGTCGCTCCTCACCGTCCATCTGTAGTCGAATCATGGATGAGTTCACTTCAGCTGGCAGAAACGAACGTGATAACGGCGCTTTCCTCGCTATCACGAACCATGAGCCATTGTACTAGAAAAAGAGGTTTCGGATTTTTGTACTATCGATGAGGTTACGTTGGATGATTGGGAAGATTTAAGTGATTGGGAAGACTGTTAGCAACGCGCACAGTGTTCAAACCTAATTTACAGACAAGACCAAGCAAACCTTGCATTTCTCTGGAGTCGGGTGTAAAAGACCAAGCTTCCAGAGAATATAGGAAATCAGAGGCGGAGGTGGTGTAGCGACAAGTGAGGCGCTTACCACTCGCGCGGTCTTGGTTTCAAATCCCGGGTCGACTCCTGCCCAGGCCAACCAATACTTCCACCCTTGAAGACGGTAAATTGGTCCAGGTTCGTCTGGGAGGATAAGAACTTTGACGTATGCATTGGCTGGCCCCCGCGTGTGATTCAACAGGCCACATCGCATTCAATAAGCCACTACGACTCGGAATAGAAGTAGGTTGCGTGCCGCATTCCACAAAGTGGTCCATTAACGGCGAAGACTTCATTTTTTTTACAGGGGAACTGGCCTGTGTCAAAGTGGCATGAGGTCTTCATATAGGTCTGGAGCCATTTATGTGTTGTACATCTCTACGCTTCGGAAAAATGTGGGGGAAGGTGAACCTGTCAACTGATACATTACCGCTAAATTACGGTCGAGTTGTCTTATGAATCTCAGTTCAGGCTGATGTCAAAAGGTATGGAATGAGTCTACTGGTGGCGTTCTGATCTACGGTTATTTTCATTAGTCCATCATCAAACGATCACTATTGGTCCTTGATGAAAATGGGGTTGTCGTTGCCGGGGATGCCCATCTCACTCTCTCTCTGCCGACAACTGGAGGCGTCGCTCAATTACAATCTGTGCCTGTAATAGTTGTTGGGGCAATAATGCTGCGATGGTCTGGAACGGTCTTCTAGAAATGGGTCCTCGTCAGTTTCTCGCCATGTGGAGCCTACAATCGTGTCTTTGTGGTGCGTTCTGTGGCCTTCACCCATTGGCAGATTACCAGTATTGTGGTTAAGTGCCGATAGTGGAATTCCAAACTATCAATCTATAGCTGTTGGTTTAAAGAGTGTTATAGACACCTCCATCCTACTTTTGGTGCGGATGCTGGGACGTGCCATTGGGGCTGGTTTTCACGCAGCGTTAGCCTTTTTCCTTCAATTGCTTCAGCAGTTGGTAAGAAATGGGCAGAGCCACTCCAGACTCAGCTGAACAACGCGGCGAAAGTGGCATTGCGCTGGCCCAGCGGCACGACGCGAGAACTGCTCCAAAAGCCGAGCCAACTAGCAAGGAAATGCCGTGCTCGCCGAACATGTTGCACCTCTTCGCCGCATCTCGGGCCTCCTGACCTGCATCTTTGATTGCTTTAACAAGTGATTCAAAACGGATCCAGTTCTTCAAGGAGACTCTCAGAGACTCGAATGAGGGCTAGAAGGAGCCAATTAGAACCCACATCCTATAGCCCGTTCAATCTTATTTTGATACATGTTCATGACGAACGAAATTTTAATGTTTAAGGGCACCCTACTGAACTACACATGTGTTGGGATGGTTCAGTTAAAATTTAAGAAGGTAGAAAAAGCAAAAGCAAAATACCTGTGCAGGGCGTAGTACCGGATAAGTGAGTTGTACACGACATTGCGCAGAACTGCGACCAATCGAAATCAAAATGACAGCCAAGATCAATACGATTGGGACGAGCGCCCCTTGAGGACGCATATTTCACACCAATCCCTCACTCCTCCACTCAGCTCCATCAATCGTCTTCTCAATCGATCTCCTGACACGTGAGCAGCACTATCAGCTGGATGGATGGGATATCCGTCAGCATCATGGTCGAGCCTCGTGGTCAGCACCATTTTTTATAATTTTTTAGCTAGTCCCGTGACAACCCCAGACTAGGGAACTTTTCTAGCTATAAGTTTGGCTTAAATGAGTAATAGAAGCTGACGCCACTCACACGCGGGTCTATCGGACCCGCGTATTGCCCTAGCAGGTCAGATTTTATATACCGCGATTCTGAGTACGTCCTGCCGTTGTGAAAAATTTGCAATGTTCCACCTCTCTGTTCAAATTTCCACATCTGGCTAAAGGCAGGGGTGATAGCTCGTTTGGAACGGGAAAAACCGAGAAAAGTCAACAAAGTCAACAACCTACATAATTTTCCTCCACAGGAAAAGGAGACCCGTCTCTCCTCTCGACAATTAAATACGACCTCTACCCCACTGGGGACCTCCACTTATGACGTACTATTCAATACCACTTTCGTATGAGTGATGGGCAAAAAATATTGAGCTGCCTCTTTGCTGGTTTAGGTATGCCGTTGTGTGAGTGAAACTCGTATTGGAATGTATGTGCAATTTTAGGTGATAGTTGATTGCGTGGCGCATCTTAAAAAGGATTGATGCGTGCCAAGCGCTTCATCAACTGATCTTATTCTGTCATGCATATGACTCCTTGTTGTCTTGGGACAAAAGTGCAACAGATTCTTTCTAGAGAATGGCCAACATTCGCTATTTCCTATAAATTCTCTATTACTACCCCATTTCGGGTTTTTTGCAACAACAATTGTTCCGTTGCGTCGTGAGCAGGTCCCTACGACTTGATCAGTGCCGTAGTAGTCCTGAACTCAATTTTGCCATTTTCAAATGATCTTGATAAGGGGCATCGCTTTCGTGGAGGCATGCTCTATCGGAATGCCCTGGGAGTATCCGAATTGCGAAGACGTGGCGAAACGGAACGTAACATAAAGCGTGCAGTTACACAGGGATATGCTTATATGAACATTACAGCTAGCTCTAAAAATGCAAACCAGTCTTGTTTCACAGCGGGTGCTGGAACATATCAAGGAGGCTGTGTTTGGCTCTGCGCCTGCCCATTCTCCTGTTGAAGCGGGAGAAGCCACAACAATTTGGTAGAACGTGCTGGCCCTGCGCTAAGCCGAGCTTCTCTGAAATGACCCAGCATCCGCGGCGAACAAGGCTGTAGCTGCGTTGACGCAAGGAGTGTGTGCCTAATTTCACCTTCAAAGCCGCTTTCTGACCGCTTGCTTATTTGCAGTGTAGTTGCGACCATAGGGATTTACTGATTGTGAGTTGCTAAAATGCTATTGGTAGGATCCCTGCAAGCGATAGAGGGTGTAACGACGTCATGGTTTGGAGCGCAGCCAGGGACGGTAGTAATGTGGCTCAAACTGGTAGTTGACAGGTAACCATGAACTCGCGATAAGGTTGAGGTAGAACAATTCCTAAACATGTTGTAGAATGCCTCCTGACTATCCAAGACACCCACCTGCGGGGTCCTGGCTGAAAAGGTCGGGGTTATGTTGCAACCACGAGCTCAGGTCAACACTGTTTTCATCTGTTAAATGCGACGTAATCACGTCGCGGTTGAACTCTCAATCTTGAGGACAGGTAAAGATATTGCTAAATGGA